AGTGTTGAAAATCAGGTTCTTCATTCTGTCTGCTACTGGGTATTGAGTCCAAGAGACCAGACCATTTTCAGTATTTGTTCATAGAAATGCTGGGTTCTTAGTTTCTCATAAGTACTTCAGGACAGAAGATAGTCTGGGCCACCAATGAACAGGAGATTGAGTCTGAAGGATAAGTCTTTAGGGTCTGAAGGGGGAGAAAATGGTTGTGGTCTGGAACATATGAAGGCAAAAGAGGATGATCAGTATAGCGGCACCCTAACCCTAAAGGCATACTCTGAAGGTCCCTGAAGAATTGTGGGCCAAAAAAATTATCTCTGTATTTTTGGTGGTGAAAATGGTAGAATCCTGAAGGAAAGGTCTTCAAAGACATGCTCCCATCTTTCAAACTGGGGCTTAGTATGGAATTCCCCTTGGTACTGAGGATCATAGAAGTCTTGTCTCATGGACATCTCCATGGGTAGTAATATCTTGGGTACAGAGACAGGGCAGACCATTCCCAATGCCAGTACATTCCACAGACCACATTCATCTGTGTGGCAAACAGATTTACAGATAGATTGCTCCATGCTGAAAAGCTCTCATCGTGTACCAGAGGGTTGAGTTCCCATGCATGCATCTGATACAGACTGCTTACAGTGTCTGCAGTCACATTGTCTGTTCTGGGCAAGTAGATGGCTACAAAAATTATGTTGTGCTGGATGCACCAGTCCCAAATACTTAGGGTCAACCATGCTAAAGATACTGATTTTGTCCACCCTGTTTATGTAATACACAACGGTAATGTTGTTGTGAGACAACTTGTAAATGCCTGCCAACTAAGAGGTTTTGGAATGCCAGAAGACCCTTGGAGATTGCTAAGAGCTCCAGATGATTGGGACCAGTCCATATCCCTTGCATTTGGTAGTGGTATGTGAGGGCACCCCAACTAGAGAGGGATGCATTGGTTGTCAAAGTGGCCATCGGTTCCATTAGTCGGAACATAAGTCCTTCAGAAAGACGGGGCTCGCGTGTCCACTAGGCAAACCTCACCTGTACTTGAAGCTGTACAGTCAATGTCTTCCTCAGCAAATTGTACCCTGGTTGATACGCTTTGTTGAACCATAGCTGGAGTGGGTGCATCCGCAGTATGGTGAACTGGACCATCAAGAAGGCTGACACCATGTGCCGTAGTTGTTGTTGAATTTTCTGAGCAAATAGTCTCAGGTTGGTTCAGAGGTTGGAAACTACAGCTATGAGTTTGTTCATATGAATTGGTTTACTCCTTGTAGATCCAAATTGGCCGCTGACTGCCATCCTTCTTAGGAATGGTAAAATAGAAACTCTGCTTTGCTTTGGATTGGTCTACTGGACAGATTGCACCCCTTTGCTAGTAAACCAGCGACTGCCTCCATTAGGGTTGGATAGGGAGGAGCACTGTAAACTGATCCAAGAAATAGCAGAGTCTCAAATTTGATTTTATAACTGTAAAGTATGATGGAAAGCACCCATCAGTCAGACGTGACAGATTCCCATATGGGTGCATGATGGCTCAGGCAGTTCCCAAATGTGGGTACTGAACTGCTTGTGCTGCCCATCAGTGCTGCCTCATGTCAGTCTTGGGACATCTTTTGGGTGGTTGGGTTTGGGTACCATCCCAGCGATGCTGGCAGCTGTGATATTGCCTGGATGGAAACTGACTGTAATGGTAGGCCTGTTGTTTGCCAGGGAATGTCTGGTAGTGAGGGGCCTGATCCCATGACCACTTATGTTCCCCTGGGTTGGAATGTTCCATCCTACCAGCAGTCACCTTGGTGTTCATCAGTGTGTGCATGGAACATACCCTCTCCATCAAAGGGCAAAGATTCTATCCAGAAATGCATATCCTGGGGGAAGTTGACCATTCAAAGCCATGAGTGTTGTCGAGTGGCCACGGCACTGACTAGGGCATGAAGTCAGTTGATGTGATGGTAAGCTGTGACAATTTGTTTCGACAGCTGGATGGCTTCAGCTAGGAAGACTCTGACCAGCTCCTGTTGTTGGTCTGGTAGGAAAGCAGCCAGAGCCTCCATCTTCTGCCACAAGAAGACCTGATACCTCCTCATCATGGATTTGTAGATGGAAAAGCGGAGGACCAGACCAATTGCCGACTAGATGCAGTGCACCATCATATCAAGTCTTCAAACCTCCTTGTCTGTTGGTATGGCATGGTCCCTGTGTTGACAACCTTGGGTGGACTCTACAGTTATGGAGTTTGGGTGGGAATGATGCAGCAGGTAAGGGATGCATACAGGTAAGGGCTCCTGTACCTGGTACATCCCTTCCAACTGGCAGCAGGTTTGGTGCTGTTGACTGGGGATCTCTCAAGGTTCTTTCATAGCCTTGGACAAAGCTAGAATGAAAGGTATCGTGTTCAGAACAGAATCCTCCATGTAGATGCTGTCATAAACAATGTCCTCCATCTGTTCTGTTGTCTGTTGCACTTGGATGCCCACTGACTTGGTCATCTGGAGGACCTGTTCCAAGAAATGTCCAAGACTCTCCCCTGGGGATCCCAGACCTTGGGAAGAGATAACATTATCTGGTGAGATGGGTTCCACAGAATCGTTGCAGGATTCAGAGCCCGAGCATTTGGTCAGTCAAATTGGATTCAGAAGGTGAGGAGGGTAACATGCGAGCGCTCTCCTGAGGTTGATGGCTTTGAGATGAGCTTGGCTCCTGCTCAGGATGGTGAATAGGTCTTGGTGGTGACCAGTAGCAAGCGCTGCGAGGGTATACCCAGGGTACCTATAGGTAGCCCTGGAATGACTGCACAAGGAAGGGATACCAGTATGGGTTTCTCCCATAAGGTTTCACAGTTGGTTCGCTGCCTATGATGAAGCAGTGAGTAGACATTCCACCTCTTTCAAGGTGAAGCTATCTTGTATTTCTTCGTCTGTCACATCACGCATGGCTCCAAGGGTTATCCTATTCTTTCTGACCTAATTTAAGGCCTAGCAATGCACGCCTTTGTCTTCTTGTTGTTCCTTGCTTAAGCAGAATAGGCATAAGGAGTGGCTATTGGTTGATAACATCTTTATGCTACACTCAGTGCACTTTCTAAAGGCCAGTCTACTAAGCGACATCGAGAAGAGATAAAGATCTAAGTTAAAAGATGGCAATAAAGAGTATTTTAATATGTATTTTTTTTTTGAGGGAGTATGAAGAAGTGGGGGAGTGACTTCAAAATTTGTAGATAAAGGTCTGAAGTAAAGGCAGATAATGGTCAATAAATAAAATTGTGTGGAAAATCTAAGTGAGAGAAACCTTAAGTTGTGAAGGAAACTAAGAGGAAAGCTAGAGATCCTGATGCACACACAAACAGGGTTGAAAGCAAGCTGAAAAAATTGTGGGAGCCCGCCTATTCATGAAACAAGGAAGGGGGCAGGGCTCCTGCCAAAAATTCTAGGCTAAGCTAGGGAAATTTACCAGAACGAGGCACTGCACAGGTGCAGCATCCGTATACGTGTGCACAAAGATCACAATGAACAATGGAGAGCAGGAGTGGTCTCTGTGGTGACTCTGTGGCTAGTTCCAATGGTGTAAGGCAGCACCCAAACAGCACAGCACCAAGGCCTTGGAAGAAAGAAAACTGTTATCTTATGATAGTGTATCTCAAATTTCTCCTTTAGACATTATGGTAGCCAAGATTGGTCCTTGTCTAAGTTCCAAAGATTTAGACTTCAATATGCCTAGAGCCAATAATTCCTTGCATGCTGAATCCAAGTAATAACCCTTCAAGTCCAGCTTATGGCTCTTTGCTTTTGTGGTCTCCACCAACTTTGTCCCCTTGGGCTTTCTTAACCAACTTCTGCACCTTGGGTATCTTCAGAGACTATCTAGGCAGTGGTAGTACAGTCTGGCATATGGCTAGAGCACTGACTATTGAGGGTGTGGACAGAGGTGAGGCTGAAGCCTTCAGAGGTGAGGCTGAAGTAGACAAGTGCTCCTTCTCACCTAGCTTGGAGTCTATCACCTGGAGCACCTTGCCACACCTCCTCTCTTAGGTGGTCTGCCCTAATTTTGGGGGTTATGTTTGATGAAGCTCTGGCAATGAGAGCAGGAGTTGATGATATAACCCTCTTTCAGACAGAAGAAGCAGAGGGAATGTTCATCATTCATTGGGTATTTGCAGGAGCAAATAAGAAACAGTGAAATAGGAGCAAACAGTGAATGTATTTTTGGAAGAGATTCAGGAAAAAACGGAGAATTACTAAGAAATATTAAAGCTATCAAGGTAACAACTTCCTGAGACAGCATAATGATGGTCAAAAAAGAACTGAGAGAACCTGGGAAACTATCCTATATACTGATCTAACAGTGCAGGAGTTCCCACCAAAATCTCTCAGCTGTAGAATCTTCTGACACCAAGATCCCAGCAGACATAAAGCTCATATGTGCAACGCACTGAGACCACAAAAAATAACATTTTTACTGATGTTCACTGAATACTTAGATTAAGGGAATTGTGCTTTTAGGCTCTTGACAGCAACATATACAGTTGTATTCACCTATGCGGGACAGCCGACAATCCACAAATAGAAGCAAATATATTAAAAAAACAAACAAAAACAAAAACTCTGGATCAGGGTAATCTAATCTCTGCAATGATGGATGATGAGTTCTGCAGTTTATATATATTATGCTAATTAAATGCATCTGTAAGTATTTGTCTTGACACCACTTAACTGATTTGATTTCTGCTACTTTGAAGAGTAAGATGTTTAGCAGGGTTTTGAAGCACCAGCTTTCCAACCTCTGAAAATCTTACCATCTTCCTACATTCTAAGATCATGCCAAGCGCTATCCATGTATTGTCAAATGTATATTTGCAACCATAAAAGCTGATTTGAAATAAGTAAAAGGAAATTGATATTTTAGCTTAACTCTATTCCTAGAATTCTACAAAGTGATTTCTTACTAATGATTTGGGGTGCACATACTCATTCCCAGTTGTCAGAGAAACTCAGTACAATAGCTCATACCTAGGCTTGTACAAACAACAGGAAAGACGTTTTGTTTGTACTTTGTGTCCATGGATGAAGATTCTCATTCTTGGATCAATGTAAAGCACAGCTGCATAGGCACGGAAGGAGTGGCGTTCTGGCTTCCTGAAAGAGAAAGCAGCTTGCAGAAGACAGGAAGCCTAATGATATGCCATTCTGTTCACAATAGCAGAAAGAAATAATTAAGATACAAAAACAGAAGGTCAGAATAATCTTCTGAAACTGATGGTCAGCTCACAGGAAGTATTTTTTCAGTCAATCTGCTCTGATGACCCTTCTATGACACTTTCCTCAATGCTAAGAAAAAATGGGTGTCTACATGACCTTTCCAGTAAGTGAATACCTGTGACTTTCTCAATTCTAATTTATTTTAAATAAAACTAGACCTTAACTCCAGAACATTCCTTAAGGACCACCTGCAACTTGCCAGCACTTCAGAGTGCACAGCTCTGCCCCAGAGCAAAAACTTCCATTTTCCTTTCCCATAAGTCTAGCTCAGATGATATCTGGTCAGTAGATGTGGGTGCTGCCACGAAGGGCTGAATGTGAACAAAGAAACTTAAGTTCATCTAAAGCAGTGGTTTCAACTGCTAGTCTGTGAACCGGCACTAGTCCACCAGCATTTCCTGCTGGCCCATGAAGAGCCACTGTGGTACGTTTGCATGACAGCGGCATCTCACTTGCCAGGACCAGTACAGGGCTAGCTGTGCTCGTGCTGCCAATTCCCCGCCTCTTCTTCAGCCAAGGAAGCCAGAAAGGGAAGAGGCAGCTCAATGCGAGCAGCAGCATGCCAGTCCACCCTCTGGGTGGGGCCATGAAGATGGGAACTTTTCCTTATTCTGTGTTTTCTGCTGGGAAGGGAAATGGTAAGGTGGACTTGTGCTGCATGTTTTCTAAGCCAATCTGTGCTGGTGTGTATGGGGGTCTGGCAGGGGGAGGGTTCTTTGTATTTCAGTATTTAACATCATGAATATTATTGCATTAAGTAACTTTGCTTGATTTTGCGTTAATATTGTATTTGAATTTGCATTTACTATGAGCAATTGCATTTATATTCATTTTGTATTTTGCTATTGTAAATTTTAGTATTCTTGAAAAGAAGCAACAACAGATTTCCAGGTAGCCTTATTTGAATTACATATTGCTCTCTAAAAATTTCAGTTGTATTTGGTTACATTTAATTTCAATATTTTATTCCTTTATTAGCATTTTTATGCTCAGTTTCTGGTTTAGAGAATTTTCATTTTTTGTACTATACAGTGGTACCTTCGCTCACAAACTTAATCCATTCCAGGACTCTGGTTGTGATCCAAATTGGTCATGAGCCTAGTTAAATTTCCCCATAAGATTCAATGTAAATAAAGTTAATCCGTTATGTAACTTTTTTTTTAATCAGAAAAATGTGAAGCAACAACAAAGATTGCGGCCATTCCCCCCCCAAGTGCAGCCATCTCCCCACCTCCCCAGCACGACGGTGACTGCACCCATCATCCCTGCATGTGCCCGTCATCCCTGCACGTGCTGGTGGGGGAGAGATGGGAGTAAATGTGGTTGTGTTCGGGGGGTGGGGGAAGACGGGCATGATTGTGGCCATCTCTCCCTGCACCCCAGCACGATCGCAGCCATCTCCCCACTCAGGAGGTGGGGAGAAGGCCGTGATCGCGGTCACCACCCAACGCGGAGTTCGTGACCGGAGTCAAAAATTTTATGAAATTTTTGTTCACATCCCAATTTGGTCGTGAACTGAGGTGATTGTGAGCCGAGGTACCACTGTATTTAAAAACTAATACACAAAATACTATATTACGTACATAATGATTTTTATTTCTGCCTCAGTGGTCCCTGAAATACGTTTCCTATTTTTGCTAGTCCCCAAATATAAAAAGGTTGAAAACCACTATCTAAAGCACAAAATGTGCTGATTCAGCTGCTAAACAGCAAGGATTGCCTTGCCCTGTGAAGCCAAGCACATACACAAGGTGGGGTGGGGAAGATAGAAGTAATGTAGACTGCCTGTTGTGTCAAACCTACGTTCCCTCTGGTGGTGTTTCAGCCATCCAGATATCTCGAGGATCAGACAACACATCCAATTCAGGTTGACCATTATCCATCAGTTTGAGGTTGAAGATGATCACCAGGGTCCCTGAAGCATCAGACACAATTATATTAAACACTTTCACTTTACTATTTCTTCCTTCAGGCAGAAAAGTATAAGCATTAAGTCTGTCATAAGAGATCATGAAAACTGTCATGTAAGATGTTTGGGCAGGCAAGAGGACTGCCCTACCAAAATCACTCATAGATTTTACCCTCACCTTTCTCCCCAGGAATCTTGCGAAACTGCTCCATCACTTCTTGTTCTGATTTGAAGGGTGAATATTTGTAAATCAGCTCAGTTTCAATAGCAAATTTCTCCATATTGTCTGTCAAAGGCTCACCAGTACAGGCATTCCAGGTAGGCAGTGGAACAATCACCTATGGTTCAAAAGTAGGATGACTTTAAAAGGATGCTTTCTCAGTTGAACCATGTCTTAATAGGGCCATTGTTTCTAAAGGTCCAAATTTATAACCACAACTGACCAGCCACTTTCTAAACCATGGGTTTATAGTAGATACACATTTTAATCAGCAGTTAACCTTCATTTCCTTTTCTGAAAATATTTAAGAAATATACCAATTTATGTTTGTACAGTGACAGAAACATCAAATTGATGAGGAATCCCAAGTCTTGCAGGAAATTGCATGTGGTATGCACCCCTTACAAGAGGTCAGTTCTAGAAGAGAATGCCAGGAGCCAGTTGTCCAAATATGTGAAGCGCTGGATGCCCTGGAGCCTGAGGTGAGCAGAAAACACTACTATGCAATTCGTAAAAATGTGAGGAATGCTGGCAAGGATTTGAAATGTAGGAAATGCCTATAGGCTTGGTTGACAGTGATATGGAAACAGGTATCCTTGAGGCTGATGGAGGAGAACCAGTCTCCCTGTTTAAAGCAGAGGGAGAATGCCTTGCAGGGTGGTCATCCTGAATCTTCTAGGAGTGATGAACTTACTGCCACCCCTGAGGTCCAAGATTGGCTTGAGGCCTCCATCTTGTTTGGGAACAGTATTTATTTATTTAGCATATGACGAGGAAACGATTAGCCAGAAGTCTACAATGCTAATACAGAGTAGATATTTGGCTGTCTACAATTGCCATTTCATTCTGTTAGCGCTTGCGTGCTTATTCAGTGTGCACCACAGGGGATGAACTAGCTCCACACACACAGACCAACTGGTGTTCGAGTAGTTGGCTCATCTGGGCTTCTTCTATCAAGCACGCCTTGCCTTGCGTCTGGACAGGTCCAGCATCAGCACCTGCTCTCTTCATGAACGCAGCTAGCTTTTTCCACCAACGTGGTACCCATTTATCTACTTGCAGTATTACATGCATTTGAGCTGTTGGGTGGGCAGGAGCTAGAGATGAAATGATGGGAGATCACTCTGTCATGCAGTGCTGGGCTTGAACTGCCAGAATGTCAGTCATTGCTGGTTGGCACATCCAGCATCATTAAGCCACTGCACCACCATGTCTAGGTACAGTGTAGTACGAAGAATACAAGCCCCTATGTAGGTCCATGAAGACTCATGGCCTCCACTGCTGCCATCACTACAGGTGAGGATCGAGTGCTTTTAATGCAGCATAGCAGTGGAAGGGTGTTAAACTCTATGCTGTATCCCTGGTGCACTATGAACAGGGCACAGGAAGCAAAGAATAGCCTGTCGTGCATAAAGCCCCAACAGAAACAGTGACTCGCGAGGAGACCTTGCACTTGGCACCCTGCACCCAAGAGTCGCCCCCACAACCCAATGCAGGAGCAGCTGAACCAGCTATTGCGTCTTCCCCTGAGCCCCAGCTCATTAAGCAAACGCCTGGACCTTTATCAGAGACAGAGAGTCATGAGAAAGAGGCAGAGCAAACTGCCTCCTCCCCTCCTGACGCTGATCTCCCCAAGCCAGAAACAGAAGACACTATAGGTGTCATAGATTTCTCAAAAGCTGAAAACAGACGTCTTTTACGCAGATTTGAACAAATACAAAGCAGGCAGCGTAAGAGAGAAGGCAGGCGTGACTTGGGAGAATGATCCCACGTGGGCTCAGAAGAGAAGCCATTATAGGACTGACATCTGCTCGGCAGGGACAGCTATTAGGGAACTTATCTATAGTACTGTAAATCTTGTAGACAATTAACATTAAAGGACTTTAGGTTTATTGCTCTGTGGAGAGCTGAATGTTTATACAACCCTTTCATGACAGAATGTCAGTCCTACAATCATAAACCCTCTCTCACAGCAGACCGAAGATTTTTTTTCTCTCTCTACAATACCACTCAACCATCCAGAAGAAATTTCATCCTAACTTCCTACCTTTCACAAACAACAACAATGCAGTCGCTTGCTCCTACCATTCAAGACCTTCAAGCTTTAAGAGAAGAAAATTGCCCCTTGAGAACAAGATACACTGACGCAACAAGCCAGATTGAATTGCTGAAAACTGAATTAAATTCTCTTCAAACAGAACTTCAAACAGCTACTGCTTCAAAACAAAATCAAGAATTGACGCTACGCAGATGCCCCCTTGAAGCCCTCCGAAATACGATGGCAAAAAAGAAGGATTTACAATTTTCAAAGCACAATGTGAACTCTACATCAATCTACGCCTTCCTGACTTCCCCAACGAAAAGATGAAGGTAGGATTTCTAATAAATCAACTCACGAGGGCACCTGCCCGCTGGGCAACTGCGAGGCTTATCGCTCAAGACCCTATACTAAACGACGCTAATCTATTTCTTAACGCCCTGGGGGAGTTTCCTTGGTGTTGAAGCTTGCAAGAAAATAGCCATATGAGAGATTAAGCATCTGAAACAGGGGCGTGCCTCAGCCACGGACTACACCACCAAGTTCCAGCTCCTCATGAATGATTTAGGGTGGAATGAGGAAGCCTTGATGGTTCAATACCGCGAGGGCTTGAGAGAGGTGGTGTTGGATGATTTGTCACATACTTCGATACCAAAAAACTTGCAGGAGTTAATGACTTTAACCATCCAGATAGATGCACGGCTCAATGAAAGGACCCGCGCTAAGCAAGAACACCATGCTGGCTCACAGTTAACTAAAACAAGATGGTTCCCGTGCGCGGAAGCCAGACCCCAGCAATTCCCCCCGAGAGCTACGTTGCCATGGCAACACCCCAGCCAGAGCAGGAACCGGAGCCTATGCAGCTGGGAGCAGCCGGGCCTCGCATTTCAAGGGGAGATAAAGCCTACCGCCGCACTACTGGACAATGCTTTATCTGTGGACATAACGGCCATATGGCACAGTCCTGCCCCTTGAAAAAGCAGGCGGGAAACTTCCAGTCCCAGCGTCGTTAAGCACCACGACACTGGGACCCTCTCACACATCACAAGGGTGCCAAGCCCTGGGAAAGGCTTCCACAGCTCGACACCTCCTGCTGGATATCTCGGTGCAAGCACACCCACAGCATGCAATTCGAGCCACAGCTCCAATTGATAGTGGCGCCACTGCTTCCTTCATGGATGAGGAATTTGCTCAAAAGCACTGTTTCCCTAATTCAACACTGGCAACCCCTCTCCAGGTGGACTCCATCCAAAAACGTCCCTTGCAGGGAGGCCCCTCCTCTCTCCAATCTTCTCCACTCACACTGCAAATTGGGAAACACTGTGAACAAATAGTTTTCCTACTAGTGAAGGACCTGCAATACCTTGTAGTACTGGGCATGGACTGGTTAATCAAGCACAGACCTCAAATATCATGGGACTCAGGGCAAATACACTTCAACTCTAACTTTTGCTCACAACACTGTAATAGTCCTACATCCCACACACCACCCACCTCCTTCCCTCCCTCTACCACTGCACTTCCCCCACAATATCAAGATTTTTGGGATGTTTTTGAACCACAAGATGCTGACAAATTACTGCCACATCGCTCATGTGACATGGAAATTCACATACAACCAGGAGCAACCCTCCCAGTTGGCAAACTACGACCCATGTCACCTAGGAACTCCAAGTCATCAAGAACTTTATATCCACCAATTTAAAAAAAGGCTTCATACGCCCTTCCTCGTCACCCACTTCAGCAACGCCTATCATCGTACCACGGAAGAATTCTGAAGAACCTAGGGTCTGCATCGACTACCGCCGCCTGAACGCAATTACCGTTCCAAACAGGCACACCATGCCACTCATCTCGGAGATTTTGGAACGTCTAGGCCAAGCACGCATTTTTACCAAGTTGGACCTTTCGCAATGCCTACAATTTACTGCGCATACGCCCTGGCTACGAACATTTAACGGCATTCTCAACGAGATTTGGCACCTTCGAGTTCTGCGTGATGCCGTTTGGTCTTTTAAATTCGGGACAATCGTTTTGCAGACTAATAAATGAAATCTTCCTTGATTTCCTTGATAATTTCCTCATTGGACTTCAGATGGACTTCATAACTGATTTACCCAGATCTAGCGGTTTCAACACCATACTAGTAGTCACGGACCTCTTTACCAAGATGGCCCACTTCATTTCCTGCACAGGACTACCCTCCGCCAAGACCACTGCCTCCCTATTCATCCACCATATTTATAAAGCACATGGGTGGCCCCTAGCTTTTATTTCAGACAGAGGCAGTCAATTCACGTTCCAATTTTGGTGGGAACTCTTGACCCTACTCAAAGTTGACCTCCGCCTCTCCTCGGCCCATCACCCACAGACCGACAGTCAAACAGAACGCCTCGACACCACTCTTGAACAATACCTCCGCTGTTATGTCAACTACCAACAGGATGACTGGCTCTCCCTTCTCCCACTAGCAGAATTTGCATACAACAATTCTGTACATACCTCCACCCATCAAACTCCTTTCTTTGCCAACCTTGGTTATCACCCTCGAGCATTTCCCTCATCACTCCCCTCGTCGCCCGTCCCCGCCGCTGTGAATTTCCTCAACGATTTAGCCTCGGTGCAGTCCATCCTTAAACAACAATTAGACAAAGCCAAGTCGATCTACAAGGAAGTCACTGATTGACGAAGACAACCCGGACCTGTCCTACATGTTGGTGACTGGGTCTGGTTGTCCACCGATTACCTCCCCCTCTCCGTACCCTCTCACAAATTAGCCCACAAACGGGTCGGACCATTCCGCATTGTTGCTCAAATCAATCCCGTCACCTTTCGCTTGACCCTGCCCTCCTCCCTGAAAATCCATCCGGTCTTTCATCGATCGTTGCTCTCTCCAGCTCCACAATGACGCCCCCTTCATACCCAACTCCCCCCTCCTCCACCTGTCATAGTAGACGGAGAAGAAGAATTTGAAATCAAACAGATTCTCGACTCTAGATACCGAAGAGGACGCCTACAATATCTTGTACATTGGAAAGGCTACCCTCCCGAAAAAAGAAGTTGGGAACCCACCTCCAACATTCATGCACCTATCCTACTACAACGATTTCACACTCGTTGCCCACATAAACCAGGGAGATCTCTAGCACGCACTCATCGAAAAGGAGAAGGTCCGGGGGGGGGGGGGGTAATGTTGTGCATGAAGCCCCGACAGAAACAGTGACTCGCGAGGAGACCTTGCACTTGGCACCCTGCACCCAAGAGTCGCCCCCACAACCCAATGCAGGAGCAGCTGAACCAGCTATTGCGTCTTCCCCTGAGCCCCAGCTCATTGAGCAAACGCCTGGACCTTTATCAGAGACAGAGAGTCATGAGAAAGAGGCAGAGCAAACTGCCTCCTCCCCTTCTGATGCTGATCTCCCCAAGCCAGAAACAGAAGACACTATAGGTGTCATAGATTTCTCAAAAGCTGAAAACAGACGTCTTTTACGCAGATTTGAACAAATACAAAGCAGGCAGTGTAAGAGAGAAGGCAGGAGTGACTTGGGAGAATGATCCCACGTGGGCTCAGAAAGAGAAGCCATTATAGGACTGACATCTGCTCGGCAGGGACCGCTATTAGGGAACTTATCTATAGTACTGTAAATCTTGTAGACAATTAGCATTAAAGGACTTTAGGTTTATTGCTCTGTGGAGAGTTGAATGTTTATATAACCCTTTCACGACATAGCCTCCCATGCAGGAAGAAATTTTGCCAGATGATTGAAGTTGTGAAGGGGTGGTAGAGCTGGTAAGGTGGGGTTGCCTGAACCTGAATTTCAGCACCTACGCCTGGTGTCTTGGAATTTAGGTGGGAGCCTTGGTGGGGATGGATGTTGTGCCTCTTGGGAAGAGATGCCATCCATGATCCAAAGGGATCATCAGGGAAGGAGTGACAGTTGGTGCTGCATTTGGTGTGTGAACCTCATGTGCCTGACAGTGGTCCAGGCCTTATGGAGCGAGTACACATTCTTGTGTGTGAGCATTAAAAAGTCCCTCTGTGTCAAAGGTATGTCCCCTATGTGGGCCCATGATGCTTCGAGGTGCTGCTGCTGTGGTGGTGACTGTTGTGGCTGGCATTGAAGTCTGTCCATCAAAAGGCACACAGTTCCTGTGGGGAAGAAGCCTTCTCTGAGCAGGTGGGATGATGGCACCAGTTCATTTGGTGAGGAGTGAGTGGCTGGATCATGGTGACTGTCTGTGTGGCGGTAGCACAAGGTAAATGCTCCGGCACAGCCAGATCAACAGCAAAATCTTTGGAGGAGGGGTCGGAGTCCTAGTCCATGCAGAGTCTCCGTCAATGAGGCCCGACTGCTTGGAGCAGGGATGTTGGTCCAGACAACTCCTCAGAGTATGTGAAGGCTGGGGACCAAGACAAGGACTGGTCCCAATCAGGGAAAGGAAAGTTGGACAATCCCCGGTGTCCCCCGAAGGTCTGCATAATGGCCACGGATGGTGTGAGTGGGCTCAGTGATGGGCCACAAAACAAGGCAAATTGGGAGCTGCAGGAAATGGTGGCTGTAACCTGAATATGGGAGGGAAGCCCCCTGGTCATTGAGCTTGAGCCTGGTTGGTGCGGTTTCCCTCCTGTGGGACCCCAGACTCTGTTGTAGGGAGACAATCATCATGCAGTGAGGCAACTGGAGGAGAGTTGGTTCTGGTAGCATGGTGCTTTTTCTTTTTAGGAGTGATTGTGGTCCCCCCCCCCCCCCCCAATGATCTCTCCATTACAGGAGCAACCATTTTCCGGGTCTTTTTTGCTGGGTGCATAGTCTCTGTCTGCTTGGCCTCTTTTCTGGAAGAGTCGGCAACATGCAATGCATGCTGCTATAGGGCGAACCTCACTTGATTTGCCTGCCATTGGCGCATCTGCTCTTTGAATGCCTGGCTGCACAGGCACGTCTCCACAATGTGCCCCTTACCAAGGAAGAGGAGGCAACGAGAATAGCTGTCCCTGGCAAACAGGCAAGTCTTGCAAGAGGCGCAGCTATGAAACATTGGTTCAGCCATGGAGAGTAATACAGCTCGCAGAGAAGGAAAAAGGAAGGGTTCCTTGTCTCATTCCTCAGAGGGAGAGAGGGGCCGCATGCAACCATAGGGCAGATAGAATGTAGAAAGGGTAGTAAGAAAATGTACAAAGATTAAAAAAGGATTTTTTAAATACTTTAGCCAAAGGCAAAGCAAAATGAGAAAGTGTGACGAAGAGCAAAGATGGAGATTCTGATCACTGTTGAGTCTCTGTGTGTGGTCAAAAAAGAACTGAGGGACTAGGTGGGAGCCCCACCCCTTTTCTCCAGAGACCTGGAAGTGGCAGGGAGGGACTCCCACCTACTCCATGACACTGAGCTGTCCAAGTTTTTTCTCTGAGCCAGGCCTTGTGCTGCTTGGCAAAGCCTATGTGTGTGATGCACAGAATCTAAAGAAGGAAGAATCTAAAATATGCCCAATACTTTCATGCACTAAAAATGGAAAACTTTCTTCAGAAGAAAATGTGATCATGCACAAAGAACCCACAACAGGTAAAGAACTCCAGGTTTCCCCTAAACACAGACTGATTCAGTTAGTTTATATTTATTTGTATTATTGGAAAAGTTAGTACCATTTCTAAAGCAGTAAGCAAAATATTGGTAGCAATCGCTTTATATTTTAACAAATTAAGGGATCATAATGCGGACTGTAGCTATCAGTTGGAGTTTTAAGGTCACAAAAAGCTTACAAACCTCATCAATGCCCTCTTCCTCATGAAATGTGCGCGACAGGAAAAGACAAGTCATACTGTAGTCCTTCTTTGTGAAGAGAATAAAATCCTTGCCAATCCGCATGGAACCCCTGTAAGCAAATTTCAGTGTTGTGATATACTGAGAAGCAAATACTTATTCTTTAGCCAGTCACGGATTCCTAAACAAGTTGGATATATAGTCTTTTACACATTTTTCTTATTACATATTATCAGCAGTACTATAAACTTGCTAAACTTTAGCGAAGAAGTATCACCCCTTCTTCCTTACAAGGAACTCAAGGCAGTTTACATAATTGTAACATACATACGTAACATAGACTGAGAGTTGATTAAGCAAGACAGTTTCATAAAAACATGTAAGGTTTTCATTTTTGCTCTTTGTTAACAAAAAAGTTCAGACCTTTGGTCGTTTTGAAATCATTTTGAAGAGATGCTATTTGAGCATATACACTGTGCATCTTTTTATACTTAGTACAATTTTGGCACAGAAAAGCTGAAAATGCATGCTTATACTGTATAATAAGTACTTGTGCTCTAAGGCATAAAGTTTTGATTTAATGGAAAAATTGCTATTGGTGGCTTTAACCAAGTCTGAATTCTTTAAGGCAGTTGACATCACACGTCTTTTGGTATGTTAGACTAGTCTATGCCTAAATTCCAAAAAAAGTCTGTTCTTTCCCAGTTTATTTTTTTCATCATGGCATGAAGAGACTCCACCACAGCAGCAGCATTTCTTCCAGAACTTAGAACAGTAGCACTCTGTCCAATAACGGTTGTCCTTGGCAGAACTGAGAAGTGGTTTCTGCCTGTGAAATGGCACTGGCAGTTGGTTTTAGTCTGTCAAGCTGGGACTGAGGAAAACCAAATGATGGTCCTGAATCAAACCACTTACAAGACCTGGTGGCTGCATGCTGTAAGAAGCCAATATTTCTTGCAGTAGAATGCACTTTATACCTGGCAACTAACCACTTTGGTCTTTGCACTGAAGAGTTTCTCCCCATTGAAGGGCAGGCCCTTGATACAGGAATGAACTTCCTGTGAGGCCTGAGGAACATAACCAAACATGCCTTCACAAAGCTATCATGCCAATCATTTCCTTCACTCCACAGTCCATCTTGTGCCTGGCAGTGTTGATCTGCATCTTTGAGAGGAGTACTGACTCACTCTAGAAAACCCTGGCAAAGTCCCGCTACTGCTCAAGAAGGTAATTGCAAGGAACTTTTCTCACAGAAACAGCTGGTATCTCACCAAGGTTGCTTGACACATGGAAACCTTCAGTCCCAGAGCAGCTGAGGCACAGATCCTATGCTGAGAGTTTTTTGTGTTGCTGATATAACTTTCCTTGGGCCGACTCAACCACCACCAAATATGGATGCTGAAATATGAAGACTGCATCCTTCTCCTATGTGTAGTACATCCCCTCCAATCTTTTTGACAATAAACCCATCATACTGTCTTGCAAGGCTGCTGTACTGTCTGCAAAATAGCAGGAATGGGATGGCAAGATGATTCCAAAACTGAATTCAAGAGCCTCTTTGGTTGCAGCTGTGGGGCAATGGGCCATCTGCTGCACCTGTTCTGCAACATGGCCCATTTCTGCCAATAGCGAAATGGGGTTCCCAGCATCCATAGCTGTGTTGGGAGAAGAGTGACATGGTTCAATCAAATGGGGAGGTCTTAGCATCGGACTCGTCATCCTCAGTGTCTGTCAGTAAGGATGGATTGGAGAGTCCAGAGGCAGAAGAGCTGGACTAGCACGGCACCCCAGTGGAGAGGCAGATGGTCTCAGGGACCCATGGCACTGCAGCAGTGAAGAAGTTGGAGAGGGTCTTGGAGTAGGTGGGTGTTGGAAAGGTGGTTGGTTGGCAATGCGTTCCCATCCAATTTATGTCTAGTCGGTAGATTGGCCCAAACTGAGGGTCATACATGGGGCCATGCTGGTAAATGGCCCAAGGACTGAAGAACCCTTTGTAGGGGACATGGACAGTCTGCTCCAGTCTGGGATAGGTAAAAAATTGCTATCCATTTGATCATTGGTTTCCAATAGCTCTGGTGGATGTTAGGCCAATGATGACATGACTGGCTCTGTGAAAACCATAGCCATTTTGGGGAGCCAAAAAGATACGAGTATTTCTGATAATTCTTTTGGATCACAGAATCATAGAATAGTAGAGTTGAAAGGGGCCATGAAGGCCATCAAATCCAACCCCCTGCTGTTGCAGGACACCATGTTACACTATCCCACTCAGATGGCTGTCCAGTTTCTTTTTAATGTCTCTAGTGTAGGAGAGCCCACCACCTCTTTAGGCAGCTGCTTCCACTGTTGTATTGCTCTGACAGTGAGGAAGCCTTTTCTGATGTCCAGCCTGAATCTGGGTTTCCACAACTTGAACTGATTATTCCATGTCCAACATTCTGGCATTAGCAAGAGATCTTGACCTTCCTCTTTCTGACAGCTTTGGAGGTACTTATAGAGGAATCTCATGTCCCCCTTCGGTCTTCTCTTCTCAAGGATAAACATGCCATCGGTCTCTTCTCAGAGGGGAGTGTTTCAAGCTCTGGATCATTTTTGTTGCCCTCCACTGGACCCATTCTAATTTACCTGCTTCTTCCTTAAATCCTGCAGTCTGACTAGTGAAGAGTATAGAACTACTACTTCTCGTGATTTGGAAGTAATACTTCTGTTAATTCATCCCAAAATTGCATTTGCCCTTTCGGTGGCTGCACTGCATTATTGACTCATGTTTAGCCTATTGTCCACAATTACTCTGAGATTTTTTTCAATTCTGTTGAGCCACGTATTCCCCATCTTGTATCTATGTATTTGGTTTCTTTTTCCTAGGTGGAGGACTAGGCACTTGTCCTCATTGAATCTCATTCAGTTGCTTTCAACCCAGCGTTTAAATTGATCAAGATCGCCCTAGATCTTCATTCTGACTTCTAGGGTGTTTGCTACTGCACCCAGTTTTGTATCACCTGCGAATTTAATTATCTTTCCTTGTACTTCCTTATCTAAATCATTAATAAAGATGTTGAAGAGCACTGGGCCCAGGACTGAACCCTGTGGCACCCCACTAGTTACCTCCATCCCATTTAAGAAGGTGCTATTGATGAGCATTCTTTCTGTCCGATTTTGCACCGAATTTTGGATCCACCTATTAGTTTTTCCATCTAGTCCAGTTTTTGCTAATTTGCTTATCAGAATGTTGTGCAGCATTATGTCGAAAGCTTTGCTAAAGTTTAGGTAAATTATGTCCAGTGTTTCCTTTGTCCCATTTGAGAGGTTATCCAGTCAAAAAGGATCCCAAGGCCGAGATATATGTAAGTCTCAGTGCCCATGTGGCATCTTCATGGGCACCTGGTTCTGAGATGAGTAGTACCAGCAAAGAGTCCATTTAGTGCCACTTGGTTTTGGTGACCGAAGGATCCAGTACTTTTGCCTCTTTGATCTGCTGGGTCAACTTTTTCACCTTTTTGAGTTTCAATGATCTGCCCAGAGTTGGAGAAGGTGATGAACCACAGATGGAGCAGCAGTGATAGTTGGAGGTGCAAGGTCACACAGGCAGCAGTAGACAGGCAAGAAGGCTCAGGCGTCCCTAGGGCTATCAACTGTCTGGAGAACCTTGTTTCAGAGCTCACTGCATAAATGGTCAGCAAAATGCTTCTGGGCCTACTTAGAAAAGGCCTGGCACTGGAGATCAACCACATACTCCTCACCCAAGCACAACAAACAGAGCAAGTGACCATAGCACTGCGCATGTTTCTGGAATGCTGCCTTCAGTGCCATCAAGAAGGAAGGAGGGAAAAAGAGTGAGGGAAAAAAATAAGGTTGGTCCAAAACAGAGGAGTAACAAAAAGGTTTTCCTAAAAAAATGTTGAGGGAAGGCTAAAAAGGGAGCAATTTTTTGAAGAAAAAAGCTTGTGAAAAGATGCATATAGAACAAGACAGTAAGTTCGTGGGAAAATAACAGTAATGAAGAGGGGGGAAAACTTTTTCTAGTTTGTCTAGACACAAACTGGACACAGTAATCAAGATGTAGCCTAACTAGTGCCAAATTGAGGAGAACCAGTACCTCATGTCACTTAGAAGCTGTACTCCTACTGATGTAGCCCAAAAGAGCTTTTTTTTTTTTTTTTTGTTGCGGTGACCCCAATCATTGGCTCATATTCAGCTTCTGATGACAATTCCAAGATCCTTCCTGCTATTAGTATTTCTGAGCCAAGTATTCATGATCTTGTAACTGTATGCTTCGTTCCCTTTTCCAAAGTGTAGGACTTGGCATTTTCCCCTTTTTAATTCGATACCGTTGCTTTCAGCCCCACTCACTAGCCCATCAACATTAGTTTGGATTTTATGCTTTCCAAGGGATTAAATAATTTTGTGTTATCTGCAATTTGATCAGCATATTGTGTACCTCCTCATCAAAGTCTTTAATAAAAATGCTGACGAGCGCTGGGCTGGGACATACTTGAAAAGGTGCCATTAAGAAGCCCTTCTTTAGTCTGATTCTTGTGGAGTACTGTGGATCTGAAAGATATTCCTTCTATTCAACTTTTAGCTAGTTTCCTGATCTGAATGTCAGTCATGAGGCACTTTGTCAAAGCTTTGCTGAAATCAAGATGTATTATGTCCACAGCATTCTCACAGTCCTACAGGTAGATTACCCAATCAAAAAGCTGAGACCAATGTTATCTGGAAAGTTTTGCTCTTCACACATCTAAGCTGTTTTCTAGCAATTATTCCATTATCTTCAAAGTATTTACAGATTTTATTATCTGTTCCACAGTATTTGCAGGAATTGATTTCAGACTGACTGATCAGGATCCCTTTTTTGAAGACAGCAACACTCCATCAGGCACTCCATGATTTCTCAAAACAATAGACAGTTATTCTAAGAGGTCATCAGTCAATTTCTTTATTATTCTAGGATGCAGATCATCAGGTTCTAGAAATCTGAATCCATTCAAAGACAAAAGATGTCACAGACCTGCTTTTGGGAGAACAGAGTTAAAGCAGAATTGAGACCCGGGCCATTTCTTTGTCATCTGTTATCAGTTTGCTGTCCTCACTGAGGGACTGAAACACCGTTTCTTTTCTGTAGTTTGTGAACATACCTGAAAAAACTTCTTGGTTTCTTTCAGCATCCCCTGCTCGCTTTGGCCCATTCTTAACTTGAGCCTGCACTTCTGTGCTACCTCTGTGTACTCTTGTTGCAGGCTTTCTTTCCACTTCTTATAGATGTGCTTTTTTTCAGGTCAACTTGAAGTTCTTTGCAGATCCACATTGGTTTCTTCTTTTGTCTTCGAATTCTGTGTTATTTTGCCTTTAAAATGTCCTTTTTTCTGAACTTCCCACCTGTCTTGAACTCCTTTTTTCCTTAGGGTCACTTGGCATGGGACCTTACTTAACATCATCCCATGTTTATTAAAACAAGCTTTTCCAAAATTCTAAGAATGTGTATGGCTACTTTCCAGTTTTGCTTCCTTTAAAATCAAGAACTCAGGTATGTTGTTGTCACTTTTTCCTTACAGTTTTCCTAACTTCCACTTTATCCACTAAGTCATCCATATTAGTACTGAGTTTAGAGTATCTAATCCTCTAGTTCCTTTTGTAGAAGAAAGTTTTCCACTATGTATGCTAAAAATGTCTTGGAGGGCCATTTCTGGTGGAATTTGTTTCCCAACAGATTTCCAGGCAACAGAAGACTCCATTACTACTACATGACACTTCCTTGAAATAGATGCAGTTCGCTTATCAAAAGTTTTGTCCTCATTTTTGCTTGATTGAAACTAGGCTCCGATTATCATTTTCCTTTTATTCCTTGACATATTTATTTCAAACCAAAAACATCTTGTCTTTCTGTGCACAGGTAATTGTTAACATAATACAACTCCACCTCTCCCCCTACAGCTAATTGTTAACATAATGCAACTCCACCTCTCCCCATTTCTATTCTTTCTCAACAAGTTATACCCTTCCGTTTGTATATTCCAATAATCAGAAGTCATCCCACCAAATTTCAATAATACCTATCAGACCATAATTGCCTTACTTTTATTAAGAGTTTCAAGTTCACACTGCTTTATTTTCATATTCTGAGCATTAATGAGCAATAGACACTGAAACCCACATGCTTCACAGTCTGGTTTCTTTCCTACATTATAATGAATGTTTTGGGATGGTACTCTTCTCTATTATAATATGTAAGCCTGCATCCACTGCTGTCTCTAGTCATTTCCCTCCCTGGTAAAATTCAGTTTAAATCCTTCCTCATGAAATTCTTCATGTTTTGGTCAAACATATTCCTTCTGGCTCTTGTGAGGTATAACCCAGCAGTTCATCTTCCAAATAGCATAGTCTGTGAACAGGAGTATGATATTGCATTTAATCCCAGTTGTGGCCTTCCCCTAGACCTTGAAGCCATTGAAGGAGAAGAATGCACAACCTTTCCGTTCATTTATCTACAAGTTCAATGGTATGATTTCTAGACAGACTTGGAATAGTCTTCTTTCACAGGATGTTTTTGAAGAGGAGGGCTAAATTGATGCTACTTAAGTGCAACCAAGATACCTCATGGTAGGTTTGCCAGACAATGTGGCCTTCTGAACAACATCTGAGGTTGAAATCAGCAACAGGAATAAATCTGCTGGAGAAATGTACCCTCTGTGAAGTAGATTTTACAAAAGCAAACAACAACAAAACCTCCACAACTGTGGGGCTTTAAGTAATTGAATGTATAAAACAATGAAGGATAGGAATAATTCAAGAGTTCACAGAAAGCCTTCACCTGTTGTGTCGGACACATGAGGAAACCTTCTGTCTTAAAAAGGTTTTGGTATTCATGCTTTAAACAGCTTGACAACTGCTAAATTGGATATTGCTATTAAATTTATTCTCCATGTTCATTAAGGATTATATATTGTAGTTTATTTCAATCTCATTTCTAGCAATCATTTGGAAAGGCTATGAGAAATCCAGTTTTCCATGTAAGGGACTATTTCTATACATATATTGCAAATGTTACTATAAATTTTGTGGAAATCCAAAGGATACATGAATAACAGCAGGGAAGCATCTGATATTGATGGTGCTTCCACTACAAATTTCAGGCATCATGACTTACCATGGAATTATAGAAAGTATTTTCTTTAGATGCAATGTTTGAAAAACAAGAATCCTTGTCTATTAGCATAAGTTAGATTTATTGTTGATATGTGCCATCAAGTCGTCTCCAACTTAGGGCAACCCCAATGGATGAAACTTCTCCAAAATGTCCTATCCATAACAGCACCATTCGGCTCTTCCAAGGTCAAGGCTGTGATTTCGTTTAAGAATCTGATCTACCTCATATTTGGTATTCCGCTTCTTCTACTGTCAACTTTCCCTCGCATAACGGTCTTCTCCAGCAAGTCTTGCCTTCTCATGAAGAGTCTGAAATATGATGGCCTCAGTCTTGCCATTTCTGCTTCTAGGGAAAGCTCTGACTTTATTTGATCTAAGACCTACTTGTCTTTAAGTTGGGACAAAGTATTCACAAAGCTCTCCTCCAGTACCATCCTATGAAGGCATCAATTTTCTTCCTGTTGACTTTACTGCTCAACCTTCACACACATAGTCACTGATAATACAATGGTTTGGATGATCTTGACCTTGATAAATGTCCTAACATTTGATTTCTAGTTCTTTCACTGTTGCTTTCCAAGTCTCACTCTTCTAACTTCTTGCCTGCAGTCTCCTTCTGAATTGATGACTGAGCTAAGGTATGTGAAATCTTTCGCAATTTGATTTCTTCATTACAAGTAAAGTTCTGTAATTATCCTGTGGACAGGATTTTTGTTTTCTTAATATTCAGCTGCAGTCCTGCTTTTGGAATTTCACTTTTATCAAGAATTGTTTCAAGTAATGGCTTTCTACCATGGTATCATCTCCGTATCTCAAATCAATCATGTTTCTTCCACCAATTTTCACTCCTTCCTGTGATTCTAATGCAGTTCTCCTTATGTTACATTCTGTGCACAGATTGAGCCAGTAAGGAGACAAAATGCATCCTTGTCTGACACCTCTGCCTATGGGAAATCAGTTTTTCCATATTCTGTCCTCACAGTAGCTTCTTCTCCACAATACAGGTTCTGTATCAGAACGTTGGACAGGGAACACCAATTTCTTTCAGAACTATCCATGACTTCATAAAGTCAAAGGCTTTGCTGTAGTCTATAAAGCATAGACTGATCTCTTTCTGAAATGCTTTGGTACACCTCAAGTAGCCAATGTGCATTTGCAATATGATCTCTAGTGTCTCCTCTTTTTGGAATCCAGCTTGGACATCTGGCATTTCTTGCTCCATACAGGATAATATTCATTGCTGCAACACTTTGAGCATCATTTTGTTTGCATGGTAGGTTAATGCAATGGTTCTATGCTTGCTGCACTCTTTTGCATCTCCCTTCTTGAAGATTAGAATATATATTGAATGTTTCCAGTCTGTGGGCCTTGAGAGAAATTAGTAGTGGTGTCAGTCTACATCTTAGCTCAATTTCAGGTGAAAGTTACACATAAAAGATAGACAATGTACCTAGTTCTGACAAGCAAAAGAGCAAGCAAGGGAAGTTGTACAAATGTGTATCGATTTGTGAAAGCAAAATTCTGTTCTTCCTACTTCTCCCACCACCCCCTGCATGAAGTTGCAGGAGTTTGACATCCCTATACCTACGATTTCAAACCATTCCCATATTGTCCAATCTGAGTAGATTCTGGTGACCGTTTAGCAGATTTACCAAACTGAATTACACTCGCAGCATCATCTGAAAATAGAAAAGAGAAAAAAAGAAATCATTACTCAAAGTGTACATTAGTACGAGCATCCTTCACTTCCAGAATACCTTAATATACAACGTGACTCATTTCAATGACAGAAAAATTACTATCAGTCTAATTGTGGGGTTATTATTCATTGTACAGAGCACACAGAGTCTTACAAAACACATTGGTTAACAGGAGGTTTCCCTCCTCTCATTACTAGCCAAGTTGAACTACTAGGGAAGTGCTGTGGAAAGTCTCTATAAAGAAGTATCAGTAATGACATGACAATGCTCTCTCATGTAACAAGTGAACCCACAAGAGGTAAGAACAAAAACCATTTTTAAGGTGAATTCCAGTCCTTTCCAAGGGATTCTTCTGCACCTCTGATGAGAGCTGAAGTGGGACTTCCCGCTCTCAGGGCTTGGGAAACTGGGTAGTCAAAAAATATTGGAATAAGAATCAATTTTCAAATTCCAATTTTGCAAGTTACTAAATACATAACTTTTCACTCTCTAAAGACTCTAAGCACTATGATTTTCTCAATGTCATCATCCAAAGATATACCATTCCAGATTATCTTTAGCGGTCTCAGTTGATAATGCTCAACTTAGGGAATGGATCTACAATTCAAACACATTGCTAGATCATTCTTTAATTTTAAAATCTGAAGCAGCTCCTTTGCACAAATTTATTATTATTATTATTATTATTATTATTATTATTATTACATTTCTATGCCGCCCCTTGCCAAAGCCTCGGGGCGGCTTACAACACAATAAAATACATTGAAATACAATAGAACATAATAAATTACCATTAAATACAAAAATACAAAAAATACACTGAGCTACAAACATAATAACATAAAATTTAAATTATCAGTATAAAATAAGTAAATAAATAATATAGGAGGAGAAAGAGAAGGAAGAAGAAAAATGCCCTGGCCAGATCATATGTTTTAACAATTAAAATGATGTTTAAATAAAAAGGTCTTTACCTGGCGCCGAAAAACCAGTAACGGTGCCAGGTGTACCTCTTTGGGGAGTGAATTCCATAGGTTGGGCGCCACCGCAGAAAAAGCCCTCCTCCGAGTACTTACTCTCCTAATTTCTTTCATGGAGGGTTCCTGGAGAAGGGACTCTCCCGCAGATCTCAAAGGGCAGTCGGGCATATACGGATGTAAGCGCTCGTTCAGGTAGCCAGGACCCAAGCCGTTTAGGGCTTTATAGGTCATAATCAACACCTTGAATTGGGCCCGGGCTTCAATGGGAAGCCAGTGAAGCTGACGGAGGACTGGAGTCATGTGAGCATAACGCCCCGTCCCCGTCAGCAACCTGACAGCTCTATTTTGCACCAATTGAAGTGTTCGGACCGTCTTCAGGGGAAGCCCCACGTAAAGCGCGTTACAGAAGTCTAGGCGGGAAGTCACCAGCGCGTGTGTCACCGTCACCAGGCAGTCGTACTCCAGGTAGGGGCGCAGCTGATTAATCAGCCGAAGCTGAAGGAAGGCACTCCTCGCCAGCGCTGCCACCTGAGCTTCCATAGAAAGCTCCGGGTCGAGGAGTACTCCTAAGCTGCGGACCTTATCCCTAAGAGGGAGTGTTGCACCATTCAGGACCAGGTCAAATCCACCCTCTCCGAAGCCCGATCCGCCAACCAACAGGACCTCCATCTTGTCTGGGTTGAGTTTCAGTTTATTGGCCCTCATCCATTCCATTACCTCAGCCAAGCACCGGTTCAGCACAGGTAAACAAAGAAAGACTTCATGCCCTGATAGAAAAGGGTGTTGACCTCCTAGCGGAAGGCTTTAAAGCTGCATCTAAGATGACCTTAAGCTCTTTGAGAAGAGCAGAACCAGTGTAATCTGGAGTCAGATCCTCCAACTTGCACATCAGTGCAGGACTCATATTTGATCCCAAGAAATCAGGTCCAGTTTTGACAGAAGCTTGATGTAGTCATACTCAAGATGAATGGTTATCTCAAGAGGTGATCAACAAAGGTTGTTTTAGCCACCAAGGTGTTATAAGGATGTAGTTGTAGCATCCCAACAAGCCTTTGCTGGCACTTTTGTGATCACACGGAAGAAAGAAAAAGGTAGGGAAAAAGCCCCCACCAAACTCAGCAGGAAGGCATTTCTGCCCTGTCATGCGCAAGAACAAAAGTTACTGCATTCAGCATTGTTCTGAGTGGCAAACAGTTCCGTAAATGGCTTTCCCCATGTGTCAAAAATCTCTTGCAAAATTGCAGGGTTCAGCTGCCGCTTGTATGCATCAAGAGTCTTTCTGCTTAGCAATGCTTAGCTTACACTTGGCTAGTGTATTATTAGTTTTAGCAATACAAATGGTAATCAATGTGATGCTCTTGTTGACACACCAATCCCAGATTTGGCCAACTAGGTTCATCAGCAGCAGCAACCAGGTGCCCTACTTGTTTATGTAGAAGACTACAGGCAACACTTCAGTTGCATGTAATAAACAGCAAAAAACTTCTGGAGCATGATAAGATCTTTCTTCACTGCAAGTATTTCTGGTGACTGATATGCTTATCGGCTTCATAAACATTCCAGGTTCTTTGGGTTGTCAAGTGTACCACAGTGCACTCCCTAGAAAAAAAGGTTGGCCACTGAGATCTTGGCAGCCTTTAGAACATAGGCAGCTGAAAGCACTGCTCCAATGTTGATTAGGATTCAAGATGGTAGTCCATACTGTACTAAGCACCACAGAAGGGATGCTGGTGTGGAGGATGCCTGGGGGTTGCAGAACATTGGTACACTGGTAGGACAAAATAGGTGGTAGGACCGTCTGTCCCAATCCAATAGCAATGAATTTGAGCTGTCCCTTTCTCACTCAATTTCACAGGGTAATGAACTGGAGATGGAGAACACTGTTGTGAAATTGAGGCCAGAAAAGGAGGTTAGGCAGGTGGCAGGTGAAAACTCCATGATATCCCCTTCTGATAGCAAGGCTGATAGCAAGAAGCCCTAATATTGATGGTCCCAGTTCCAGAATGGTCTTGATCAACCTCTCATTTCTGGCCAGTTCTGAACGATGCGCCTTTGAGTGCCACTTACACCAGAAGGGTCCCCCAACTCAGCTTCCTTGGCCCTCTTGGCTAACGTCTTATCTTTCTTTAAGTTCAAGGATCTCCCTGAAATTGACAGAGAATGACCCAAGGTTTGGACACTTCCCTCAGGAAGCTCAAGTTAAGGCAGGAAGCAGCCTCAGATGCCAGAAGATGGGTAAGCCCTGATGCCTTAAAAATGTCAAATGCTCAGAGAATCTTATTCCATAACACCTAAGGTAGTCTGTGTTATTACATGAAGACCATACATTGTGGCACTGGTCAAACTGATGCTCCTAATCGAGACAGAATATGCCAAGGAATTACAGGCCAGGTAGCCTGTGATCAATCCCTTGAAAAATACCAGAACAGATAATAAAGCACCTGTAAACACCTTGAAGACATTGGAGTAATTACTAGAAGCCACTAGATTTATCAAGAAAATAAAACTCCCTGTCTGAGCTGACGAAGATCGTCTCGGACATGGTTTTGAGGACCACCAGGATGTTGGTCCTGGGGCACTTCAAGCTCCACACCAAGGTGGTTCAGCCCAGGGATGCACTGGCTGCCACAGACACTGCTGCACCCTACTGACGCTGCTGCGCCAGACGACGGCCACCACAAGACCGGGGACACTGCTGGCCTGCAGCTCCTCTACCTGTGCCAGTGAGTTCTCTGCAGGCCTTGCCCTTGCTCCTCCCCCCACAGCGGGGGTGGCACCTGTGCCAGATTGGGGGCGGGACGCAGGGAAGGGCCGCGGGCTTAACTCGCTGGCAGCGGCCTTGGACAGGCAGCCAAAGGGTGACAGCCAAAGGGCACTGTCACTTTGTGCAGTGCTGGGCTGGGCCAGAAACTTAGCGTATCTGTAGTGAGGTGGGCTAGAAGGTTTTATATTGTATTTTATTGTATTGTTTTTATTGACTCCATGACTGAGTTGCTGTTTTTACAGGGTTGCCTGGGAAGCACATGGGCACCACAATTGAGTTGGTGTTGGGCAGGGGATGATATGACATTGAGAGATGTCTTGGAAGAAAGGGTGCAAGAAATGGGAGTAAATTAGGAGATAACACACAATTCAGTGGGATAGCTAATTTCCTTGAAGACAGGAATAAAATTCAAAGTGATGTTACTAGGCTGAAGGGCTGGACTGAAAGCAGCAGTATGGAATTTGATAGGGATAAATGCCAAGTCCTACACCTAGGAAAAGGGAACCAAATGCACTGTTACAAGACAGCAGATATTTGGCTCAACAACACTACAAACAAAATGGATCTAGGAAATGTCATAGATCATAAGCTGAATATGAGCCAATGCTGGGTTGTTACTGCAAAAATTAGAAAAAAGGCTAATACTACTTTGGGCTACATCAATAGAAGTACAGTACAGCTTCCAAATGACATGAGGTACTAGTTCCCCTCAATTTAGTACTAGTTAGACCCCATCTTGATTATTGTGTCCAGTTCTGGGCACCACATTTCAAGAAAGACAAGAAGATGGAAATATGACAGCACTTTTCGAATACAGGAGATACTGTGATTTTGGTTCCAGAACACCGCAGTAAGTTGTATAGTGCAAAAATTCAAATCGTGTGTATGCGCATGCATATATATGTGGGTATAATCACACACACACAAACACAATATAATATATATAAAGAATATATACACACACATATATAGTCATACTCTTAAGTTGACTGCTTGGATCAAGAGGCCTAGCTTTCTGCCTATCTTAGTATTTGGCATGCCTTTCTTACTAAGCATAATCATTTCTAGCTTCCTCTCACTTGAATTCTTGGGGGGTGTTGTAGGACTATTACAGTAATTGACCTAATTTGCATACGTATTGTTGCTTCTCAAGGAATAGGGAGGTCTGAGGGGACGGAGAAGCACAGAATGGGCAGTCAACTCCCCCCAAAAAACAATTATGAAGATCACAGTAA